CCTGAGCGGTGACGCTGCGTTGTACCACATGTACATTAGAATTCACATGCCACATCACCAATGTTCTCAATTAAGGGATTCAGTTTAGCGAAACTACAGATAGCATGGACATACCCTCTGCAAACCCTGGAACATCTCGGAACTGATCATATTTTTAAATGTGCGTATAAATGATTGAAATTTGAGTGTATTGGCGACAAATTATTATTTCTAAATAAATGAAAAATGAAAATGAATTTACTACAAATCATCGTTTCAAAAAATAATATTGTAGGTGTATTTCTTTAGGTATTTACATATTCAAATACTTTAGCCATTTAAAAAATAAACATGAGTCAACTTATATCTTGGAATGGGCATGTCCGTACTAAGAAAACGAAAATGTTAACGTAATTTAAATAACAATAATAATTTATTTCTTTAAAAAGGATACAACACTTAAACTAGTACAAATACAGTATATGTTTTAAAACAATTTAAATTAGAACATGTTTAAGTCGTACAGTGATCATTTTAATTAAATTAACGCCCACAATTCCGATCCATACGATCACTGCACATCTATACAGGTTAAACTCTAGTTCAGCTGCAGAGGTTCACATAAATTGCAAAGTACAATATATGCGCCGGCTCTTAGTATATTTGATTATTTTATATAAGTAAATTTCTGAACATTATGGTTAAAAACAATTATTATTGTTTATTTTTGTTTACATGGTACGTTGTAACGGCGCGTGGCGACAGACCGACGGGTTGTGAATGGGAGAGATGCCACACGGGCGTTGCGTAGTCGCAACTACATTGTACTACATACATAGAGTATATAACCAGAAATAGAGACGAAATCACAAATTAGAAAACTGAAATGGTACGGCGCCAACAACTGACCTGTGTGTACGTCTCCGTGTGTTCCAAAAATATTCTGTATTTATTGTATTCAAATTCAAAATAATCTTTATTTCATAGGTAAGCATTATTACACTTGAAATCGTCACATGGTTAAACTCTACCGCTCATTCGTAAGGCAGATTCCCCTGAGAAGAATGAGTAAGAAACTCTAGGGGTTGCTCTTTGTAAATAACATTTGTACATATTCAACATTTACAATATACATTTTTTTTTATTTGAAACATTAGAGATCGAGACTACCTCCATGAGCTAAACGGGTTACTACCACGGATTTTTGTCATCCAAGTACGAAGAAGTTGTATAATAACCTTTAGTTTTTGTTTCACTAAAAAGATAATATCTAAATATGTAATAAAGATAATATCTCTAACAATGGGGGCTGTTCCATTAGGTCGTGTGGGAAAAACAGCAAAACAATATTACTAATTACAATTACAAAACAAATGGAATCACATTTCATCGTTAATTAAATATTAAGTATATGCATTTTTGCAATTTTCGTCTATTATAGCAAAGTTGAAGTTAAACTGGTCGATTTGAAGTGAAACAATTGACGACACCCGTCAATTGTTTCGATTTCGGGCTGGCCAATCGAAGCGCAGTTGTCACAGTAATGATTTGACAGAACTGTTTTCAAACAAATTCAATGACATTTCGTCTTTATTTCTGGTTATAAATTCGATGACCACACGGTGCGTTGAAACAGCGCGTGTCGACGGAACAGCTCGTGTGGCACTTAGGGTCGTATTCCAGAAGTCTACTCAATGCTCAAGTAAGGATCTGAGTATGATTTCAAGCACTGGAAATACGACCATAATGGCAGGGACTTGAGTATGATTCCGAGTGCTTTAAACCATACTCAAATCCTGACTTGAGCATTGAGGAGAGTTCTGGAATACGACGCTCAGTCCGTTGAAATAATAGCGTTGCGACGACGCAACAGCATCAGTAACATCAGCCTAAGAGCGATGCCTCACAGGCGTTACGTCACGCAACCGTATTGCAATAGCACACCAAATAATAAATTTTGATTTTCAATCCACATTTCTTGACCATCGACGGGTGACATATCAAATTAATATAAACTACCAAAATCAACAAAATCATTTTTATTGACACTGAGGAACTTCAATACATCAAATTTACAGTAAGCATTTGGAAGTTAAATGCTTGTCATAAAATAGTCGTCTGCTGGGCAGGGGTCATTTGAGTCTATCGGTTTGTACCTATATATCTTGCCTTTAGTCCCTATGACGATGTTGTTTTTATTATCAAACGCCATTCCTGTGATTTTGAAGCCGAGTTGACCAATTTTTTGGGGCAAAATGCTCTTTGTTGTTAACTTAAATAGTGACCCTTTAACTGCTATTATGGCTTCATCATTCATGTTCAATTGCATCATATATTTCAGCTCCCTAGTAAATCCTTTATATTGAATCGGTTCAAAATATTCTATGGAGAAGAAATACAATCTACCATCAACGTATTCGTAATAGACATTACCTTTGGAATCTAAAACGAAGTTATACGCTTTAGGTATTCTTTCATATCTCTTGACAGCAGCGGAACCATTCATGAATCTAAAAATTTCATGATTTGAACCAGTCGTGATGTACATTTGATTATCGGACTTGTCAATAAATATGTTTCTCACATCGTCGTCTCCTATTGGTCTTTCTGCTGTGATTTCTGTTCTTGAGTAATCATAAGTCACTATTCCCTGATTAGTACCAATGTATATGACGTTGCTGGCTGCATCGATACCGACACATTGCCCCACTAATTCATCAGCAACAGGCAATTCCTTGATACCTAATGATCCGTGTTTCAAAAGATGTATTCCTTTTGTATAGTTTTTCTTATGAAGTATGAAAAAAATGTGTTCGGTTCTTGGGTCAACGACAATGCCCGTTGGGTAACCATCTATGGTGGCGATCAGCTGTCGTTTGTAGTATTCAGTTCCGATTTTAACCCGTTCACATTTTTCACCAAGGCCGGACACGATGAGTGAGATTGGTGCAAGAACAGAAAAGTACTTCCACGCAGTCATTTTGGGACCATGACAAATTGTATTTGTCCTGGAAAGGAAGAAAATGTTATTTGAAATTATAACTTCCTCAAAAATTTGGTTATACCCTTTCGTTGTGTTTGTTACATCTTTTGGCCAAGTTTTATTGAAATTGGTTATAGGAAAGTGGGTACAAATCCAACAAAGCGGATACGTCCCCTAACTTGTCACCCTTAGAGGTGGAATATTTTCTTTGAATTTGAATAGGACTATTACTGAGGTACCTCCTGTCCTAAAATAATCTCAGTACAGAGTACTAAAAAAACCGACCTCAAAAGTACGTGGAATTACGTCTATTTGCTAAGTTTCATTGAAATATCCCCTAGTTCGCCACTATACAGGACTTGATACTGGAGATAATAAAAATAGGTTCTCACTACGACACTACTCAAAGTATGTAGAGAGAAAAACGCCTTGAATTGGAGAAATAGCAAAATCAACTAAATGATTGCTAAAAGTAATTGCTCCTTAATTAAAGTTAGGCGCTATTTATAAAAATGAATATTCATGAACCTCCTCCTGTTTTGAAGTCATAATAAATCCGGGTTTAATTTAAAATCTGCCACGATCGCGTCAGACCTGCCATGGATAGGGTTACGTTAGTTACGTAATTCGACGCAATCACATTGTCACTACATAAGCTGAGTATCTTTGTTTCCTATCATATTTTTTTATAAAAAGTACTAAGAGATTCATATCTGATATCTGACAGCCTGGCAGAGTGTGCCAGAAGACGTCGAATCCGGCCGGATTTGAACCGGCTTTTTCTGAGTGTTCTATATTTGTATTAATTATTATAACTTTCTCGCACTTTCACTTTTTCGTTTTTTTTTAATTATTTTATGCACTTTTGAAAATTTTTGTCACTATTTTCGGGTGAAAATATGTAAAAGTCCTACCTTCAAGTGTCTCAGCCAGTGTGTAAGTAAATTATGACATAGCCAAAGTGGACAGTGAGGCAGTGGCTTTTAAAACATTCACAGTTTTCTGTTATGACTGCTTTGTTTATAAACGCAACCGCTTGTCTAGATATTTTATTGTATAGGCTGATTTTTATTTCTTACTTTCTTTTCGTTACAATCGCCTTTTGGATGATGACCTTGAAACGTAATTGGGATGACAATAAGATATATATTTGGCTATACAATCACGAAATTGCCTGGTTAATCCCAATCTTGCAATACCTACATGTGGTAATTTTTAGTTAGACCTTAGACAGTGCCCAATAATAGAGCGCTTTCGAATTAAACGCTTGTCTGCAGTGGCGCGTTTGTGGCGTCTCTACTATTTTTCATACAATATCTAGTCTGCAAAAGAAGCACGCGAGTGGCGCGATTGTGGCGTTGCAGCTGCGCTTCTGAATATAGTATGAAAATTAGTAATGGCGCAGCTGCAGTGCAATAGTGGAGCCACTGCAGTGCCGTAGTGGCCCACTTCTATAAGCGTCTATTTTGAAGGCGCCCTTAAAGTTTATGTACAGTCGATGCCCTATGATATTTGACCGCCTAACCGTCTATTTGTTTCTGAGTACATCAGTGTGAAAGAAGGTTATATCAAATATAATATTTTACCTATCAGCCGTAAAATTAATTTGGGCACGACTCCCCTATGACGTCATTAGTGAGTGACGTTTTATTAAACTTTTTAAGTCAATTTGATCTTTAATAACATGGCATAATTATAAATTTAAAGGAAGAGCTTGAATTTCTACCTTTTGTGGCCGAACGGTTACCATACTGGTCTGCCACGCAGAGGTCCGGGGTTCGATTCACGGGCCGCGAGAAATATTTCTTTGACCTACATTTATTTGTCTCGTGAGTTTGGGTGTAATTTGTGATTGTCTATGTGTGTGTCCATGGCATCCGCGATACAAGGTGTCCCTAGCGCGGGGCTATGAGTGTTTGTTGTTAGTATTATTTGTTTACACTTTTCTGTTGAATGCGTAAGATGTTCACAGACCGAAAAGGTCGGAGGTCAGGGCATGGTCAGATATCTTAGGGCATGGACTGCACGCAAGAACGTTTTACTATTAAAGTTCTTCTGTTTCTATAACTCCTAGTACAACCTCAAAATTACCTTCTTTTGTATTGGTACCTATAGTCAAAAGTGCTTTGCATGATATAAGCATCGTTTTTGGTTTAAATTGCTTATTTTTATCTCTTTTTTCGATTAGCTTTATTTCAATAGAACGCGGTACTTTTCATAGTGTTTAAAATGATCTATCAATCAAATCCGGAAAAATAGTTTCATTTCCTATGATCTATCAATCTCTGTCTTAAGTTTTATAGTCTGAAATTTAGTTTGCCTCGATCTCTACTCTACAATTCAACCAAAGTCACATCGAATCCAATTTTAACCCATGATGAAAACATAGTGGTATAGTAACAACTCTACTACTCATTATACCATAGATTTGCAGCTAATTATGGTAAAATATGAGGACTGTCTAAATTAATATGTAAGTATACATTTGTACCACCTTTTGTTAACCATTCATTCATTCATTCATTAGGGAGGCAAATATGAATATTTCAAACTTATATTAATTTATTTTATTTTAAACTATTTGGACAGATGTAGTAGACGTTAGCGTGAGGTATAAGTCCTTGCCGTCGCAAAGATTCGAATCGTCATTTTTTTTCGTCGTCATTCCGATTATCGTGTAATATACCACAGTTTAGTAGCTAGTCTTCAGATTAGACGCTTATAGAAGTGCTGCAGTGGCGCAGTAACCGACACTGTATCGCTTTAGTTCACTAAATGTGACTGCAAAAGTGACGCGCGAGTGTCACTACAATGTCGCTGCAACTTACTTCGCTGACTCAGCGACCCGAAGTGGATCTTGGCCTTCGACGTCAAAGTACGCTATTCCTGTCGGTCTTGTGCCAATTTGGACACATTCAGCTCCATTAGGTCTTTGGCGACTTCGTCCTTCCAGCGATATCTTCGATGGTCCACTGGCCATATGAGCCGTAGGTTTGTAATGGTGCTGGTGGCGTTATGTCCTGTTGGATGGAATATAGTAGTAGTAGCCTCCGTAGCCTCCGTAGCCTCCATACATCTTACTTAGTTAGTTTAGTAGTTCAAAAGTTGAAAGTCCAGTTTTATAGGTATTTATTCAGGTTTAATAATAATATTGGGATCCTTAAAATGTAAACAGTGTAAATATAACTAGTAAAAGGTTCAAAGATAGGAAGAGATGTGTTCGCTACCGCGATCGCGCAGGGAGTGTCGATGGAATGAAACAAATTCGGAAAGTGAGGTAAAAGAATGGAACAATTCAAAATTTGAATTTAAATACGAGTGTGAGAATAAAATAAGAAATTTCAATAAAAATGTGGGATGACAATCAAGGAGGTCACACCGTCACAGGTTGTCCCAAATGCGCCCTTTTGGCAGCTACATTTTTTCTCATTCTTTCCACATGTCCTAGCCAGCGAAGTCGAGCAGACTTTATTTCCCCGATTATTTTATTTATTTCCAAATTTATTGTACTGCAAAAACAAAATAAAAATAAGTAACAAGGAAAACCCAAACAAAAGGTACTACTGCTTATTTCTAACAGAAATTTCTTCCTGCAAACGTAAATACAGGACAAAATAATTGTACGGGTTTACTTGCACAATAAAACAAAAATTATGAACAAAAAAAATCAAAAACATAACATTATTAAAAATATATAAATACTTATATAAATACATATTGTGTACTATAATACCTATAAAATGGATGGTCAGTCGATAAATAGTGCTCTTTAACAGTCATTTTGAAAATTGCTAAGGATTTGTTATCACGATCAGCAATGGGAAGTGCATTCCAAAATCTGACCGCGTGAACAGTGAAGGAGTGAGAGTAAAAACCGGAATTGAAGGATGGAAAATATGACTGGGACCTAATGAGAGAACGACAGGGCTTATTCTGGGACCCGACAAAGCTGAAACGCTCTTTCAGATACCTGGGAGAAATAGGGTTGTGCAAAATATTACATTTCTTTCTATTGACTCTGACCTTCCAGTTCGAAAATTCTCGTTTGATTGGTCCCAGAATCTTTCGATATATCTTCCATTACGTAACTAATATTATGTGCTCTTCCTTCAGCGTAAGTCTCCGTGTGTATCTCTTACACCCATACATTACTCGCTGCAACTGCGCTCCTACATATTGTATGAGAATTTTTTTTATAATAGTAATGGTGCGATTGCAGTGTCATAGGGCCACCACTATGGCGCTTCTATAAGCGTCTAATTTGAAGGCACCCTTAGTATCAATGAAAGAAAATTTTAATTTGAACTTTATATTCTTCCGAAGAGTATGACCTGCCACTTTGTTTAGCGTTTGTGGACTATGAGAAGGCCTTTGATTCGATCGAAACCTGGGCGGTACTGCAGTCTCTCCAAAGGTGCCAAGTAGACTATAGGTATATCGAGGTGTTAAGGTACTTATATAAAAACGGCACTAAGTCAGTCCGATTAGAGGATCAGAGCTCTAACCCTATCCAACTGCAAAGAGGCGTGAGACAGGGAGATGTCATATCTCCGAAACTGTTCACTGCTGCGTTGGAGGATATTTGCAAGCTTCTGGACTTGAGAGCACTTGGCATCAACATCAATGGAGAGTATGTAACACACCTTCGATTTGCCAATGATATAGTTCTTATGGCTGAGATCTTGGGAGACCTGAGCACAATGCTCGAAGATCTCAGTAGTGTTTCCCAAAGAATGGGTCTTAAGATGAACATGGACAAGACGAAGATCATGTCGAATGTCCATATTGTACCCGCTCCCGTTAAAATTAGGAGCATTACTCTCGAAGTTGTTGACCATTACGTATACTTGGGGCAGACAGTCCAGTTAGGTAAGTCCAGCTTTGAGAAAGAGATCTCTCGTCGAATCCAGCTCGGATTGGCAGCGTTCGGGAAATTCCAAAAAAAAAAATCTTTGCGTCCAAATTACCTCAGTATCTCAAGACGAAAGTCTTTGACCAGTATGTGTTGCCAGTGATCACGTATGGTTCAGAGACGTGGTTTCTTACTATTGGCCTGATAAGAAGGCTCAGTATCGTTCAGCGAGCAATGGAGAGAGCGATGCTCGGTATTCCCTACGTGATAGAAATCCGTAAGAGGACTAAGGTAACCGACATAGCTCGAAGAATTGCTCAGCTGAAGTGGCAGTGACCGCGCACCGGACGACGCTCAGTGGGTAGTCCCCCACCAGGTGGACCGACGATCTGGTAAAGGTTGCGGGAAGCCGATGGATGCGGGCAGCGCAGGACCGATCGTCGTGGAGATCATTGGGGGAGACCTATGAATGACGATTATATTCTTCAAAAGTTTATCAACAGCCTGTATAGAGAGATGATGGCTAGAAAAATTGTGACTTAAGAATAGTAGCTATTATGATATCATACTACTATTACCGTGGGACAATAGTTGTATTCAAATTGAAAAAAAAAACATTGGTTGTAGTTATAATTAGTATTTCTATCGAGGTCTTTGATGAAACTTGTTAAGATTTGAGGTATGTGCCCATTTTCTATTAATAAAAGACCATCCTGCCTGCAAAGGTTACTTAATCATTCGGTACTTATGACTTAGAAGTTGTAGAGCTTCTTGTGAGAGAGGTCGTCCAGGCAAGTACTGCCACCTTACCTATTTCTGCCGCCAAGCAGTAATGTGAGGTTTGAGTGACATCAACCCTATTGACAACAGGTTTGCTTAAATTTCTCGAAAAATAACATAGCTTTATTACAGACAATAACAACAATAATGCTACAGACGAACTAAACGACTGTTTTGTAGTTCCCGGGAAATAAAGCAACTGGACTTCATAAAAGGAGGTTGTCAATTCGACTGTCTTTTTCTGTGTGTGTTATGTGTGAGTGCAAGTCACACGATTACTATGCCATTTATGAACCAATTTCGATTATTATTATTTTTTGTTGAAATGGGGTGATCTCAATAGTGATCC